CTGGTCTCTTGTTCTGTGCCTCGCCACCTTCGGGAATGGATGCGGTGTGGCAGGTGTGGTCCTATACAGCTGCATCATGAGGATATGTGTGTTTTCCAGAATGCAATGCCCCTCTCATACCTCTGTTTGTTGGTGGCTCTCTCCCTGATAGTGAAGAGCCTGATGGATTTCCAGAGGAGGGCTTGTGGACAGCCTGCAGGGCAGTATGACGTCTACCGGATCCCACAGAATGGTACGCCCCATCCACTGTGTCTCACAAAGACACACACCTATACTCTTATCTTTGTGGGGACCATCCATTCATTTCTATGGGCAAAATCCTAATCCCAACATGACGACCTTAACCCCTACCCAGCCCTAAGCTTACCCATAAGTAACCATTGTATAAGTGCATAACCATTGCATAACCATGCATAAGTGATTGCATTCACAGATCATTGTGGGGACCTGAAAAATGGTCCCTACAATGTCACAATAACTTTTTTTTATCACATTGTGGGGGACATTTGGTGTGTGGGAGACACAATATAAACGTAATCCACACACATTACGTCACATCTGCTAAAAACTCAGGGAAAACCGAGTCGGATGCGTTCCATTTGCCACAGAAGTAGCAATACCATGGACCCATATCAAAAATCAAGATTTTTTGCTTAGCCGGACAACTTGTCAGATTTAAGGTACCTCAGTTTAAATGGCCTTTATCTTTGTTCACTTGCAATTAGCCCGAGCTACCTTAAATCTGACAAATAATCCGACTAATCATGAAATCCAATTCTAGCCCGGTTAATTGCCATTGTTAGCAATATCAGTTGATAACACATTACGTGCGGTGCTTAATGTATAAAACTCAGTAGCAACACGTCCACAGATAAGTTGAACGGTATAGTGTGTGCGACCGATTTAATGAGCCACAAATGAGAAGCAGTGCTTAAACAGGATGAAACTACAACTTTCCCTTCTGTTGATAAAGGGCGCAGCCATCTTGGATTCTGAATTCGGGATCCTCTGTGCTGTCCGAGATATTTCTCGGATCTCAGAAAAATGAGAGCGCGCATTTCGTCGCTTCAAAACTCGGAATCCGACTCGGAATCTGAGTTCTGAAGGCAAATGGAACGCACCATCAAGTGGCACTTTTCCACTGCCACTAGGAAGTGAGCCGTACCTGACCTATATGGCGAACTGATTTCCCACTGCAAGATATGCGAGTTGTACCCTGTACCCGTGATGTACCATCGTAATGTATCGATGCATTCCAGAAAAAAATAGTATGGAACAACTGAATGTCATGGATTCGTAATTTACATAAGAGAATACTAATTATGGTAGCGTTGGGTGCTAACATGACATGGTGATTCTCACAGACAAAAGTTAGAGCTTTGCTACTCAAAACATTAGAAACAGGGAGGCGAACATGGGAACCGCCGAAGGGAGATGGGGGACTGCGCAGGGTGCTGGGGACCATGTGACCTAAGCCTTCTGCAGTTTGCGTTTGGGTTTTACACTGTTAGAGAAATCTGAGAGTGACATCTGACAAGGAGTCTGTGTGTCCATAGAAATCTAAAATAGGGCAGAGAATGCAAACCAGCTGCATGAGGGAAAGCGTATGTGTAGCAGAAGCAGAATTGGACATAAGAATTATTAGTGGTGGGGGGGTTGCCAGGAGACACTGCCCCACCCGTCTGCCTCCATCTGACACGGGGCCCAATGTGGGCGGGTTTCCAGGTGTGTCGCCTTTTTCCCAGAAAACTCGGCTGAGTGGCTGCCACGGTAACGGGACGAGTCCAGAACTCAGCTACAGTAGGAGAACGAGCACTTTCTCTTTTTAAGACATTTGTTATTAACTAGTATTTGCACTAGTAGAATAACTTAGCTGGGCTGAAAGATCACTGATGAATCTTCATTTTGGTGCACTTTGTGGGACGTTAAATACTTGGTAAGCAGTCGATATGTAATTTATATTATGCATTAATATTTAAGGAAATGAATCCAAAAAATAACAGAATTGTGTTTGTTTGTGTGTGTGTATGTGTGTGTGACCAGACATTTTTCGGTCACCACAAGGATTACCACAATTTTATAAATATCTGTGAATCCTAGAAATGTCAAAATCTTGTACTTTGTTTGGTTATGTATTGTTAAGGTTAGGGCTGGCTAGGGCTTACGGTCGTCATACTTTGGATTAGGGTTAGGTCCATAGAAATGAATGGACAGTCCCCATAAAGATATAATTACAAACCTCTGTGTGTGTGTATGTGTGTGGGTGTGTAAATACGTTATACAGTACATGTTCTAAAGTTGTATTTGCTATCTTTTCATATATTTATATGGAAATATTTTTAACCTATAAATAAGGTGTAGATGGCTGAAATATATATTGAAATGTGTGCATTTTGACAGATATATTTCACATATTAACACACGTTAGAATGGCAGTGCAGTAACAGTAACACACCCTCTGTCGTTGGCATTTTCTGAAGACACATTCTCACTCTCTTGCTGTAACTGCGACCCGCTCCAGAGCTGGGTGTCTGGGCCAGGCAGGGGGGCCTGGCACACGGTCTCGGAAAACAAGTGAAAGCAGGCCTGTCTTGTGTGCAAGACCGCCTCCCCCAGGCTGAAGGGGGCGTTACCGGACCTGCGTCAGCCACCTTTTTTTTCCAGACTCTAGATTTACAGCCTATTCTCTGGTCCCGACCCAGGAACAGGCTGCCTGCGGGTCCCAACTGGGCTGGCCTGACCAGTAGGTGGCTGTACTATTTTTCCCCAGGTTTTTGATGTCCATCCAACCTTTTTTATTGTTCAGTTATCCAGTTAGGGTCGTTTTCAAAAATGTGCTTTAGTTTTTTTCAGCCGAATATTTGTAGTTCTTGTTCTTGGATGAGCAGCCAAAATGGGCTGTATTCCTCTGCACTGTCTTGGGGGGGGGGGGGGGGTTGGAGGCAACAGCCTTTATAAGAATTTACTCTTTCCTCCCCCACCCCCATCAGTTGGTTTCCTTGTCACATTTTGTGCTTAAACATTAGCGGGGTNTTAGCGGGGTGGGGGGGGGGGGCTTTCGTTCGACTGCTGCAAAGGACCTGCAGATTTTAAGCAGTGTGTGATCAGGTGACCTCGCTCGTGACTGTTTCTGCATCGCTTGGTCTCTGCAATCACGCAGACGGTCATGCCTAGGTCGGCACATATGAGCGCGTGTGTGCCCTTTTAAACTTGAGCCGCTGGGAGATGTTGCATACAGTACATTAGCGGGGGGTGGGGGGGTGGGGGGTAACAAACAATTGCTTCTCAAAGATGCGGAGATACGAGTATGTGCTGACCTGGTTCGCATCTGCCCTGTGCTACTCTCGCTCAAACGGGCCAGTGTTCCTGCCGGAGACGCCGGGGACGTCTGAGCCAGTCAGCAGACTTGGCCAACGAGCCCCTTGGCCTTGACATAGAGCCTGACATCTGCACGCACACACAGGGGAGCTCCGCCTCCTCACTGAATCATTTGCCGTCCCCTTGAAAACAAACCACCCGGAAAAACACGTCTACTAGCTAAGATTATCACCCAGATTTACTCCGAGCGTGGAAATCTCACCAGGTCGCATGATCGTCACACAGACGATTGGTTCCCAGAAGCCAATCTGCTGATTGTGGGTGACAGTCACATGGTTCTGATAAAAGGCTCACTGTTGGCCAGTGAGGTGATTCAGGGTCATTCTGTCCTATGAATTTCCAGGCAACAGTTGGTGCCCCAAATCTACAAACCGTTGATAGGACCTTTCACTCCAGCTACTACTTAATTGTCAACATGCTAAAAATATTTCTAGAAGAAATTTCCTGCATGACAAATTACGTCCGGCAGACACCTCCTCCCCCTGCCTGCTAACTTTCCCTGTTGTTTCCTGGGCAACCATAAGAACCACAAAAGCTTTCTGTTGTCTAGGATGACTTCCCCAGATCTGTCTTGACTGCATCAAGTAGTCGGACATCAGGAGTGATCTATGTCCGTGGCCTAATGAAATTCTGGGCCCTCTTAGCCTTAGTACTCTCTGAGTGACTCTACAAGACCTGATTAATGCAAAGATTGCACCAATGCACACTTTTGTGTTGAATTGACTCCTAACCTGTTTGTATCTACAAAGGATTGTGGATTTGCTGAAATGAGACTTTCTTTGGCCGGTTGCTAGCTGCTGTTATTTGGGGATGTTGAAATGACGTCACAGGGGAATCTTGGACAACAAAATTCTGTCCGACATCAATATCAGAAAGGAGGCATGTTTCCAATGGGAAGTGACATTTTTCATGACGTGTTTATCTAAGTTCCGACTCGGAGAGAGTTAATCGAACGCAGGATTAATACCATTACCATGGGTGTACAGGGGGCTGGGGTAAGTTCTGGCTGGTGTTCCAGTTGTGAGGGGCCCCAGTTCTCATCTAAAAACAAAGGCTGGTAGAAAGTTTAAAGCCTCCCATGTCCTGCATTGATCCCATGGGATTAGAGAAGCCTTCCAGTCACCCACAGATATAGTACAACCAGTAATAGCAGGAAAAAAGTGATCAGGAATGTCTTACTTACACCGTTTAGACTCAATCATATGTCACAGTGCTGCAAAACAGCCAATTTTAGCTTGGCTGTGTTCAATTTCTGCTCGTCAGTCAGGGAGTGACCGTCTGGCCCAAAAGCCTGATCGGCAGATAGCACGGTGCCACATTCCAGAACACCGCCCCGGTGCTGTCGCCGAGCTCAACGCATGGGACGTGATGTGGTATTAAGCATATTTTTTTTGTTGAGGTATGTTTTGTGATTTTACATCATTTCAGAGGAATATTCTGTTAGAAAATGGGGAATGTTTAAGTAGAGACTTTTTTTGCCCTTACAACAATCCAGCATTTTTAGATGTAAGCTTGCTAAAGCTTGCCAAATTCTCAGTATATGATAAATTCTCTATTTTTAAAAACAAAACGAGATCTCAGGTATTTTATTTGATATACTTTATTTGTTCATAGTCTTCATAGTCTGTTTAGTTACTTTACTTGTTTACTTTCCTTAATCATTCCCTTCCGTTATCCTCACAGTTACTCACCATTTGTGTAGGGCGAAAAGCAGACACTTCACAATCAGCCGAGGACACAAAAATGTCACGCATGAATGAAAATAAGCCCTTTTGGGTTCAATCCCATAAAAGGGCACAAGTGACCCTTGACCTTTCACAATACCTTTTGATTGGAGGAAACAGATTGCAGGGG